GACACGTAAATACCGTAAGAGGTCTACAGGAGGCAACTTTTGTAGGCAATGAGAAGCCTATATACCCTGATATTGAAGCATTTTATATAATGACGTCAACCACCTACACATTACCATACAGGTGGATGGGCAGAGAGTGGGAGTATTGGAAGGGAAGGGAGATACAGCTTGATGGTTATGTGGGGCGATGTGTGCGATGGTGCTTATGAATTACGATGACTGTCACTTATGGTGACGGGTTCATAATGTGCCTGGTAGTGAATGTGAGTGATGAGTGTTTGGTGTTATTGTACTGATGATGATGAGAGACGATGGTGATGATGAGATGAGATGATGTGTGTAATGGAATTAAAGACTGGTGATGGGGTCTATTATATGTGAGATGATGTTGGTATTAGTTTAGTGTGATGGTGCGAAATGGTGTGATGAGTGGTGAAGATGTTCATAATGGGTGGGATGCGTGGCGATTTGTGGTTACAGTGTTAACGAGTGTTATCAGTTGCGACGTCACTGAAGGGAGTGTGGGTTGTGGTGATTACGTTGAGTGGTAATTTTGTTGTTGTGTTTGATGGATGGTGATGGTATAACGCGGGTTGAGTGGTGATGTGGTATAAGGATGGCGCTGCTAATTCGTGGAGATGCGGTGACGGGTGGTGACGGTATTGTTAGGTATGATGAGTGTGATGCTTATGCGTGTTAGAGGAGCAATGGATGCTGATGGTAGTGATGCAGCAATAGGTGGTGATTGATAGCAATGATGCATGTGATGTATCTATGGTGACTTAGTGATATATGCTGATGTAGTAATAGGTGGTGTTCATGGTTATTTGCGACGTTGATAAGTGTGAGCAGTGAGTTTGTTTTAAATAAGTGGGATGAGTGATGTGATTATGGTTGATGTGGATGCTATGGTGGCGATGGCTTGGGTTAAATGGGTGTGATGCAATAATGGATTCTAATAGTGTGTGCAAGATAATGATATGATGTTAGATAGTTATGTGGTTGTGTGATTATGTGATATAATGTCTGTTCATGTACAGTAATACGTTTCTATATTGGTTATTGTTGGAGGCGAGTGTAGTTATGTATGATGACATGTCCACAGGTGTTGATGCGGTTGATGGGTGATGATGTGGGGGTCAATGGTGATATTTTGATGGTGTAATTAGTGGTACAGTAAAGTCAAATGGTGCTGATGGGTGCTATGATGGGTGATGTTGATGGGTGTTATGATGGTTGATAATAATGGGCATGGTGGGCAATATTGATGCGTGTGATAGGTGATGATGGATAAGATTTTATGAATAATTAGATTGTGATGTCGGGAAATGTTGTCGGTATCCGGTGATGTTGCTAATGTTGGTCACGCTGTTGAGCATGATGTTGATTGATATTATGTAGTGGATGGGCATGGAGCTGATGTTTCGTGTAGTTTCTGATGTCTCGTAATGTAGTGATGTCGCTGATGTCTAGTGATGTTATGGGTTGTTGTGATGTGATGGCTGGTAATGTAGTGATGTTCCTAGTCTAGTAATGCAGTTATAAGCATTGATGTTCATTGTATCTCGTAATGTACAGTGACATTCCTAGTGTATGGTGATGTAGTGATGTTACTGGAATCTGGTGTAGTCAGAATCATGATCTTTATTCATCCTAGAGAAATCCGATGAGGAATGAAGCTCTTTTTACACACACGTCCAGCAACGACGATGGCTAATGATGTTGCTACTTGGTGATTGTGTGTGCTGTAAGGGGGCGATATCCGCCAACGCGTGTGGGGACGCCCTGATGCGGGGGACGCGCTGTAGCGATGTGCAGTGGTGTGGTTGATGGGAGGAGATGGATGGTGGGTGGATGTGGGGAGGAGGTGTGGATGGTGGATGGATGTGGGGAGGTGTGGATGGTGGGTGGATGGGGGGGCAGTGTGAATGGTGGGTGGATGTGGGGAGGAGGTGTGGTTGGTGGGTGGATGGGGGGGTGTAGATGGTGGATGTGGGGAGGAGGTGTGGATGGTGGGTGGATGGGGGGGCAGTGTGGATGGTGGGTGGATGGGGGGAGGAGGCGTGGTTGGTGAGTGGATGGGGGGGGGCAGTGTGGATGGTAGGTGGATGGGGGTTGTGTGTGGTTGGTGGGTAGATGGGGGGAGGAGGTGTGGATGGTGAGTGGATGTGGGTGTGGATGGTGGGTGGATGGGGGGTAGTGTGGATGGTGGGTGGATGGGGGGGCAGTGTGGATGGTGGGTGGATGTGAGTGTGGATGGTGGGTGGATGGGGGGTGTGTGTGGTTGGTGGGTAAATGGGGGGAGGAGGTGTGGATGGTGGGTGGATGGGGGGGGGATGTGGATGGTGGATGGGGGGAGGAGGTGTGGATGGTGGGTGGATGGGGGGTGTGTGTGGTTGGTGGGTGGGTGGATGGGGGCAGGAGGTGTGGATGGTGAGTGGATGGGGGGGCAGTGTGGATGGTGGGTGGATGGGTGGTGCAGTGTGGATGGTAGGTGGATGTGGGTGTGGATGGGGGTGTGGATGGTGGGTGTGTGTGGATGGTGGGTGGATGGGGGTGTGGATGGTGAGTGGATGGTGGGTGTGTGTGGATGGTGGGTGGATGTGAGTGTGGATGGTGGGTGGATGGGGGGGCAGTGTGGATGGTGGGTGGATATGAGTGTGGATGGTGGGTGGATGGGGGGCAGTGTGGATGGTGGGTGGATGGGGGGGTGTGGATGGTGGGTGGATGGGGGGGTGTGGATGGTGGGTGGATATGAGTGTGGATGGTGGGTGGATGGGGGGGCAGTGTGGATGGTGGGTGGATGTGAGTGTGGATGATGGGTGGATGGGGGGCACTGTGGATGGTGGGTGGATGGGGGGGTGTGGATGGTGGGTGGATGGGGGGGGTGTGGATGGTGGGTGGATGGGGGGGCAGTGTGGATGGTAGGTGGATGTGGGTGTGGATGGTGGGTGGAGGGGGGGTGTGTGGTTGGTGGGTGGGTGGGGGAAGGAGGTGTGGATGGTAGGTGGATGGGGGGCAGTGTGGATGGTGGGTGGATGGGGGGAGGAGGTGTGGATGGTGGGTGGGAGGCAGTGTGGATGGTGGGTGGATGGGGGGCAGTGTGGATGGTGGGTGGATGTGGGTGTGGATGGTGGGTGGAGGGGGGGGGTGTGTGGTTGGTGGGTGGATGGGGGGAGGAGGTGTGGATGGTGGGTGGATGGGAGGCAGTGTGAATGGTGGGTGGATGGGGGGGCAGTGTGGATGGTGCGTGGATGTGGGTGTGGATGGTGGGTGGAGGGGGGGGTGTGTGGTTGGTGGGTGGATGGGGGGGTCTGGATGGTGGATGGGGGGAGGAGGTGTGGATGGGGGGGGGCAGTGTGAATTGTGGGTGGATGTGGGAGTAGATGGTGGGTGGATGGGGGGGGTGTGGATGGTGAGTGGATGTGGGTGTGGATGGTGGGTGGATGGGGGGTAGTGTGGATGGTGGGTGGATGGGGGGGCAGTGTGGATGGTGGGTGGATGTGAGTGTGGATGGTGGGTGGATGGGGGGAGGAGGTGTGGATGGTGGGTGGATGGGGGGGGGGATGTGGATGGTGGATGGGGGGAGGAGGTGTGGATGGTGGGTGGATGGGGGGGATGTGGATGGTGGATGGGGGGAGGAGGTGTGGATGGTGAGTGGATGGGGGGCAGTGTGGATGGTGGGTGGATGGGGGGTGTGTGTGGTTGGTGGGTGGGTGGATGGGGGCAGGAGGTGTGGATGGTGAGTGGATGGGGGGGCAGTGTGGATGGTGGGTGGATGGGTGGGGCAGTGTGGATGGTAGGTGGATGTGGGTGTGGATGGGGGTGTGGATGGTGGGTGTGTGTGGATGGTGGGTGGATGGGGGTGTGGATGGTGAGTGGATGGTGGGTGTGTGTGGATGGTGGGTGGATGTGAGTGTGGATGGTGGGTGGATGGGGGGGCAGTGTGGATGGTGGGTGGATATGAGTGTGGATGGTGGGTGGATGGGGGGCAGTGTGGATGGTGGGTGGGTGGGGGGGTGTGGATGGTGGGTGGATGGGGGGGGCGTGGATGGTGGGTGGATATGAGTGTGGATGGTGGGTGGATGGGGGGGCAGTGTGGATGGTGGGTGGATGTGAGTGTGGATGGTGGGTGGATGGGGGGCAGTGTGGATGGTGGGTGGATGGGGGGGTGTGGATGGTGGGTGGATGGGGGGGGTGTGGATGGTGGGTGGGTGGGGGAAGGAGGTGTGGATGGTAGGTGGATGGGGGGCAGTGTGGATGGTGGGTGGATGGGGGGAGGAGGTGTGGATGGTGGGTGGGAGGCAGTGTGGATGGTGGGTGGATGTGGGTGTGGATGGTGGGTGGAGGGGGGGGGTGTGTGGTTGGTGGGTGGATGGGGGGAGGAGGTGTGGATGGTGGGTGGATGGGAGGCAGTGTGGATGGTGGGTGGATGGGGGGGCAGTGTGGATGGTGCGTGGATGTGGGTGTGGATGGTGGGTGGAGGGGGGGGTGTGTGGTTGGTGGGTGGATGGGGGGGTGTGGATGGTGGATGGGGGGAGGAGGTGTGGATGGGGGGGGGCAGTGTGAATTGTGGGTGGATGTGGGAGTAGATGGTGGGTGGATGGGGGGGGTGTGAATGGTGGGTGGATGAGGGTGTGTGGATGGTGGATGGGGGGGTGTGTGGTTGGTGGGTTGATGGGGAGAGGAGGTGTGGATGGTGGATGGATGGAGGGGCAGTGTGGATGGTGCGTGGGGGGAGGTGTGGATCGTGGGTGGATGAGGGGGTGTGTATGGTAGATGGGGGGAGGAGGTGTGTATGGTGGGTGGATGGGGGGTGTGGAAGGTGGATGGTGGGTGGGGGTGTGGATGGTGGATGGGGGGAGGTGTGGATGGTGGGTGGATGGGGGTGCAGTGTGGATGGTGGGTGAAGGGGGGGGCAGTGTGGGGGGGACCGAGCGGGCTGCCTCTTCCGGAGCCTCTAACGGAAGAGGAGGCGCCGGTGTCGGTGTGGAGTTAAAATGGCCGCGAAGTCGGATGGAGTTGGGTACGGCGGCGGCGGTGGTGGTTGTGGCGGCGGCGGCTGCGGCGGTATTATCGGAGGATCGGGTAGCGGCGGCGGCGGCGGCGTCATTGCCGTGGGAGGACGAGGGGGATTAGGAGGCATTGGGGGAGGCGGCGGCGGCAGCAGCAACAAAGGCGGCGGCGGTGGTCGGGCTGGCTTCTCGCAGCTTCACAACCCCAACTCTGGCGCTGTCCGTGGTGCTGGATTAGCTGCTGCTGCTGGATGTGGCGGCGGCGGCGGCGCCACGGACTCCCAGCACCACCAGGGCAGCAGCGCGTTCCACATGTGCCACTGCTGCGACTCGCTCTCCTGTTATTGCGGCTGCGAGAGCGAATGCCTGCGCTCGTTGCTCAGGCGCCGGCTCGGCCTTCGCCGTGGCCGCCGCCGTGCTGCTGCTGCTGCCGGCGGCGGCGGCGATGGAGCTGCCGACTTTGACCCCGACGCCGCCGGCGACGTCGAGGACGACACCTGCTCGACCGCCGAGGATTTCGCCTGGGTGGTAACGGCCGTGCTGGTGCTCTTGTCGGATGTTGGCACTGACCTGTGGCTGGCCGCCGACTATTATGCCCGCCGGGACGTGTGGTGGTTCGGACTCACTCTCTTCTTGGTGCTAGCCCCGTCGCTCGCCGTGCAGGCGGTCAGCTTCAGGTGGTTCGTGCTGGACTACGCGGCGGCGGGACTCTCCGTGGGGCTCGGCACGGCCAGGTCGAGGAGGCCAAGCCATCTGGTGTGCCGAGTGTGCCTCTGGGCCTGGCAGAGTGTGCTGCACATACTGCAGCTCGGACAAGTGTGGAGGTAATGGTGACGCACCCACCCACTCATCCATCAACTCGTCAATCCAACCAGACACCCACCTATTAATTCACCCACCCGCTCACCTATTCACCCACTCACCCACCCACCCACTCACTCACCAACCTACCCACCCACTAACCAACCCACTCACCAACCAACCCACTCCACTCACCAACCAACCCACTCACCAACCAACCCACTCACCAACCAACCCACTCACACACCCACCCACTCGCCAGCCAACCCACTCGCCAGCCAAACCACTCACCAACCAACCCACTCACACACCCACCCCACTCACACACCCACCCACTCGCCAGCCAACCCACTCACACACCCACCCCACTCACACACCCACCCACTCGCCAGCCAACCCACTCGCCAGCCAACCCACTCGCCAGCCAACCCACTCGCCAGCCAACCCACTCGCCACCCAACCCACTCGACAAGCAACCCACTCGCCAAGCAACCCACTCACACACCCACCCACTCGCCACCCAACCCACTCGCCAAGCAACCCACTCGCCAAGCAACCCACTCGCCAAGCAACCCACTCACATACCAACCCACTCGCCAAGCAACCCAATCGCCAACCAACCCACTCGCCAACCAACCCACTCACCAACCAACCCACTCACACACCAACCCACTCGCCAAGCAACCCACTCACCAACCAACCCACTCGCCAAGCAACCCACTCGCCAAGCAACCCACTCGCCAACCAACCCACTCGCCAACCAACCCACTCGCCAACCAACCCACTCGCCAACCAACCCACTCGCCAAGCAACCCACTCGCCACCCAACCCACTCGCCAAGCAACCCACTCGCCAAGCAACCCACTCGCCAAGCAACCCACTCGCCAAGCAACCCACTCGCCAAGCAACCCACTCGCCAAGCAACCCACTCGCCACCCAACCCACTCGCCACCCAACCCACTCGCCAACCAACCCACTCGCCAACCAACCCACTCGCCAAGCAACCCACTCACCAACCAACCGACCCACTAACCAACCAACCCACTCACCAACCCACCCGCCCACTCACACACCCACATGTCCACCCACCCACACGTCCACCCACCAACCACCCACACGTCCACCCACCAACCACCCACCAACCACCTACCCACCAACTCACTAACCCACTCACCCACACACGCACTCACACACTCACACACTCACCCGTGCACCTATACACGTGTTTAATTTCACTTTCCTGGGAATTCTGGTGTTTTGTGATGGAATGGAATAAGGGTCCCCACTGTGTCCCTCAGGGAAACCTGGGTGATTATGGGAGATGGCCTCCTGGAGTTTATTGTGGCTGATAGGGCACCTCCCCCCCCCCACGTTGTCCAGTTGAATCAACAGGATTTCTATTGGGATGCCATAAGGAGGACAATAATACAGGGGGGGGGGAAACAACTCGTGGTCAAAATATATAATTATGCCATATGGGATAAAATCTTATATCCACTCTGGAAGTGTTTGTATATGATTTGAAATCAACTTTTAAATGTTAGTGTGGTTATGACACCAATACAACACCGAGAAGGATGTCAAAGAATGTGTCAACTTGTACAAAACGACTCCAGTCTGGTAACTCAGCACTTTAAGACAAATAGCTTTTTTTGTAAACCGTTGCGAAATATAATATTGTTGAATTAATGGATTTCCTACATACGATACAATGTTAGAATGTGAATATAACTGTGAAATGTGCAAAATGGCTAAGTAACAAGTTTGTATTTTGCATTTTGGGAAGGAAATATAAGCAATTTACCATTTTTACTGTGAAAAATCGATATGCAGTACAAGTTAAAAGTGGATGGTGTCCGTAGGAACCATTTATAGGCTGTAACAATGTTTTGATCACACCTTGCACACACATTTTGTACCGTCAAAACACACACGCACAGTGCATAATGATTGTGTACTCTTATGCATCACTTTTCACTATACACACACGTAAACTGTACTGGGATTGTAAATGTTGTCGGTTTGCTCTCCAACACACCGGTGAGCTGTACTAGTAACGAATTGGCATGTTCTGTTTACATGACAAATCTTACTAATTGGCTTTGTCGGGTGGTGGCGGGTTTAACGACACATTTATATATTTACACGATCTCACCCCAAAAAAATCTCATTATGGACATAAACTGTATTTGGAGTGAGTCCATGACCAAATACAGCATTAGCACTTCTACATATAGACATAAACATTTAAACCTTAACCATATCCTGTTTTTATTTTTAGGCCTTATTACTTTATCACATGCAACACCATTTTTCGACTAGTAACACATCAATCGACTTGGAAGTACCGGATCAACCACTAAAAGAAGCCGGCGATGTCGCTACACAAACCTCCACATCTGAACAGGGTACATTTCATAATTGATACGCAGGTAATTTTTAACTTCCCATCGCTATGGATGGTGACTGCTACTTTCACGATTAAGACAACGTTGACCGATGATAGTGACAAAGAATGTTTGAGATGTAGTTGGATACCAGGTTATACTGTCACGTAACTCTAAATGAGGATGCCTGTTTTGTTACAGAGCATTGTTGGACCTCTTATGGCGATAAAAGGCTGAGCTTGGTTCGGACTAAAGTTGTGGTTTGTTTTCAGCTACTCATTCAACATTTAAAGCCATTTAAAACCATCTTGATTATCAAACCAGCTTGGGCTTATTTGCAACCTTACCTTATTGGACTCGTCTTACTGTAACAATATATCTAGGGACACGTAATAAAAAGCCATGGTGGTTTTGATGCTAATGGTAGATAGGTTTGAACTGGAAAAATACATCATGTGACTTTTTAGTTCAACCTGCACCGTGTAACTCCTCTGTTCCCTCACCTTTCATAATGCTTTTGAGAGCCACCCTTTCTGGAGTAATGAACGTCACTTGTCATTATTGCATGCCCTCCCTCTACCGTTCAATCATGATTCGTATCAACATTGTAAAAAAAACGAGAAGCACAATAATGGTGGAAGTTAATCTTAATTAAGAGAGTGGTGTGATAGCACAGCGACTCTGTGCACTTCGCTATGGAGCCAGCCACTTAAGTTTGATTCCCAGCCATGGTTAATATCCATGGTGGGTAAGATCTGAACTAGTCCAGGCTCACCCCCCTCACCGATCTGGAATGATAAGAATGGTCAAGCAACACCTGTGACCGACATGGCATGGGAAGGTCTTCATTGTGAAGTGGAATAACACTGCACTGTCATTTATTTTAATCGTAAGAATATAATTGCCAAACTGTATGTTGTTGTTTTTTTGCACGTACATTGACGATATCAGGGATTGTTTCGCTATCAGGGATTGTTTCACTATCAGAAAATGCACTTTACATTCAAAATATGTTATCAAGCCCTCCTGAGTGTCCGATACCTGCGAAACCCCGGTTTGATTTTTTTTTAAGTATGAGTAACAAATAATAAAAAAACATGTAAAATGAATTTTGAATTTCTACCATTTCAATGCAGTTGTCATCCATCCAAAGACGAAAGGCGCATCACGAGCAAAAGTTGCATCCTCTATATTGTGGCAGTGGTTTGCAAAGAATTCAGTTTGTCCGATTGATTCCATTGTGCGCTCAACCATATATGTGATGGTTTAAAACTGACAGCTGTTATGATATTTTTGGACAGCTCTTTTACAGGATTTAAACCTACAGTATTTTATACATTTTAAGGCAACTAATCCTTGGAAAATGCGCATTTAGATGGCCTTAATTTTTTTTCATGCATCAACATTTGACATTCTCCAGGTGGTCTGGTAATTACCGTTGCTAAATGATTAGAATGGAGCCACTTGGATATTAACCAGCAGTGACAAGTGGAGTTGTGTAATTGCCATATGCCAAGTATTATTTATCAGGCAAACACATTTAATGGACAATGCTATTCCCTTTGGTCACCTATGTAACTGCATTGTCATGGTTGGGTTTTCATAGAAAAGAACTTGATTTCTGGCTGTAAAGAATCATTTTTTGCATCAATAATTGTGCAGTTATATTGGACAAGACTATTTAGTTGTTTTTGACGGAAGTACTTTATTTTCATTTAATTAAAATTGTGATGGTTTTACCACATGGATACGCCGTTACAATATATACACAGGTATTTAGGTTCACAATCCTGTGCTTTTATTTCAAGATAGAAATTCAACCGAATGCAATGTCTAAGACTGGTACCATGCAAGTGTTATCTGATTTAAAACAACCAAAAATCCTAAAATCATTAGCCCATCAGTTACATAACAATTCAAATATTTTTGTATCCCTGCTATTGGAGGGCTCCAGTTATGAAACAGTTGTTCGGCTGCTGCTGCTAACACTCATGAAGAGAGCAGTCTGAAGACACGTCTAAACTCAGATTAACTGCTTGCCCTGTCTCACGGTTCCCCAGCCAGCCTGCCTGCCAGCCGGGCCCGGCACTGGAGCCATGACAGAGTTGCATAATTGGTGTCGTTGAAATTCCGGGCATGGCTTTGCGAGCTGGCGCGCGTTGTACAGGCGGAGCAAGTCGCCTGAACTCGAGGTTGAATGGGCCGCCTTCAGCCCGGGTGACTGCTACGAACAGTAACATTGGAGCAGCACCTGCTGTCTTTGTCTCATCGCCGGCTGTCTGTTGAGTGCAGACACTGTGTCCAACAAATCCCTAATTTCGATCGCATGTATTATCCCTCCAATGAATAGTGAAGGACATACTGGCACATTTATGCCTAACACTTCTGATATTTTTGTTGTTTCAATAATGAAATATATTGCAATAATCTATTGTAATGAAATGCACATGGAACTTTATATTTCTTTAACAAAACGACAATTGCCATGTGTATCGTGCATAACATTGACATTCGCAAAGTGCGCAAAAGAATTAAAGCAATAACCTTGCACAATAGTATCGAACCCTGTAGGTTTTTTTGTCGTTACATACTATTTGTTTTTATTGCAATAAGAAAAAAAAAGCTAAAAGTGATTGAGAACTCTACTGTTTGATTTACTTAAATCATAACTGCACTTGCAATATGTCTAATTGTGCATCCATGGCTTTTGCCTGTACCCTGATGTATATTTTCAGATTTTGATCACCTTAGTGCAGTGCTGTGCTGCATCGCATTTCATCCTGCTTTTGAATGGGTACAATTGTTGGTCACGTTTATTGCTCGGATATCTCCAAACATAATTGACCAACGTAACGAATATTTTTGGGGGAAACAATGAGAAAAAAATGGTACATTGTTTTGGTGCACATCTGTTTGTATGAGCGCGAAGCTTAGTGTAGCAGTAGTGTACTGGTTAGCACACTGTGTTCCGAACCCGGAAATCTGCGTTCAATTCCCGTTCGCGGCCAACACCGATGACGAATATATGAAGCAGTCCTGGGCTTCACCTAGGTCAACACAGCCTTCTGGTGAGACACTGCTTAACCAATACATACTTCACCTGGAATGGAAATTTCTACAAGCAAATTGAGGGCACCCCAATGGGCTCCCCCCTATCTCCGGTTGTAGCCAACATCTTCATGGAGAAATTTGAGACTGACGCCATCCAGACTGCCACTCTACGCCCGACCTTATGGAAGAGGTACGTAGACGACACTTTTGTCATCTGGCCACATGGCAGGCCTACTCTCGACCAATTTCTCGACCACATCAATTCCATACACCCAGCCATCAGATTCACCATGGAAGTCGAAAAAGATGGCAAGCTACCCTTTTTGGATGTCCTAATCAAAAGGAGACCTGATGGTTCAATGAGCCACTCTGTCTACAGGAAAGCCACCCATACGGATGCTTACTTAAAACCGGATTCCCACCACCATCCATCCCAGAAGAATTCCCTCATCAAGACTCTATATCATAGAGCCCAATGCATCTCCGACCAGGAACACATTGCCAGTGAACTCAAACACGTACGCCAAGCTCTTAAGGCTAATGGTTACTCCGACTACACAATCCGCAAAGCCATCACTCCAACCATCAAGAAGGATCCTGTTGAGGAGCCTTTCAAGACCATCACCTTACCCTACATTGCTGGGGTCACAAAAAAAAGATCTCCAAAATCCTGATTAAACACAAGATCCAGGTCCGATTCAACACAGTACAAAAAATCCGTGATCTGGTACCGTCTGTAAAAGATGTGGTTCCAGACATACAGTACCCTGGCGTCTACAAACTAAGTTGCCTCTGTGGTAGCAGTTACATTGGAGAAACCAAACGACATGTCTCGGACCGCATCCGTGAACATAAAGCGGACTTGAAACACGGTAGGACAAACACCTCAGCCGTGGCAGATCACTGTTACAACTCAGTGGGCTCACATGACATTGACTTCTCCAAGACAGAGGTTCTCTGCAAGCCATCTGGCTATCATGAGAGATTCGTTCATGAGGCGATCCACATATACAAACACAGAGACAATTTTAACCGAGAAGATGGATTCTGGCTTAGCAATCATTGGAAGGACGTAATAAACCATTTCGGATCTTAACTGATTGTGTTCACGTTTACGGTGACTTTCAGACCTCGTTCCACTCACTGGCATTGTATTCTCCGCAAGGAATGGATTCTTTGCTCCGCTGCAAGTTTCCCCCCCACGACTCACCCATTGATACGACGGTCAATGGTACAGCGTATAATAACAAATAGTATAACATTTATATGCTTAATACAATGTACAAAGTAATATATAGTATCGTAATTGTATAGTAAACATATAGCAGTGTGATACACATTAGGGTGAGTAGAATAATACATAGTGTTATATTAAAATGTATAGGGTGGTTTATAGCAATACAGTATATAATTTAATGTTGGGTTTATCTATGGCAGTATATAGTACGGTGTATGCTCGTGTGATGTAAGAGAATAAAGTTTAGATGGAAGCATATTATATATTTTTTTACGACGTAGAATTGTAATGTATTACTTGCTGTTAGTAACTCAGCTTATTGTAGAGTATAGTAAGTATACTGATGGTGCTATGCAGTTTATACTTTAGTTTTTTATGTAGTTTATACTTTAGTTTTCTACGTTGTTGTTTAGTAACTGCAGCTACATACTATTAACATTCTTTTCCTTTGTTAATGCTACTGCACCCCCCCCCTTGGTGCTGTTGATCCTGCATAATGCATGGGCATAATGACTATGAAACCCCCCCCACCCACCTCCTACGCATTTCCCATGAATATGCTAAATTCCTCTTCATATGCACATTCTTTTTGTTAAGGCGCTCTTGCACCTCCAACGCAGCGTATATATAAGCTCCTAGCTTGGTAGTGTCTCATTCTTCACCTGAGGACGGCTGCTTGCGTTGTGGCCGAAACGTCGTGAGAATTATTTTATTTTATTATGTTTTATTTTTATTATTTTATTGCTTCCCTTCTACGTGACTTTACCGAAAGAACCAAGAAGATGGATCCCTGCAGTCACGAAAACTTTAAATAGGTATAAGTGTAGCTAAACGGGGGATCTGTTCATACGTGGTGTATCCAGCATGTTACGTAATCGGAAAATGTAACGTACGTGCTGTATGTAGCCAGCAGCTTGCTAATTTAGCTGTCGGCTTGGCTCCATCTGCTTTCCTTAAAAAAAAGAACAGTTCTTAATGTGCTGTGTGCACCACTGGTCCAACGATTGACCACACGCACACACACACACACATGGAGAGAACAAGTAAAGCTGAGATGCAACATAGTAAATGATATTGTACTAAGTGTCTGAAATGGTGTATTTCCCAAGCAGACCTAAAAAATGTTTGCTGCATGCATGGAAATGGATATTAAACACGTTCCTTCGGAGTGGGCAGGTAGGGACTTGGTTGGACAGCGCATTCGTGCGATCCGTGTCATGAGGCGCAAGCTGCGTGGGGCGACGCGTCACGTGGTGCTGAGCCCGCCCGAAGCGCTCTATGAAATACAAATCGAGGGCGTGGCTATGCACGACAGACAGACAAATAATCCCTGGTGGGCAATGTGGAACTGTTGTTCCTACTCTTTGGTTATTTCGGTAAAGCCACGTATAAAGATAAAATAATAAATTAAATACTAGCATACGACGTTTCGATTGCAACACAAGCAATCATCATCAGGTATAAAGGAAATAGAAACACAAATCTAGTATACTTAGAAATGTAACGTAATACAACAGAGATTCGGATAACATAACAGTCAACACCCTACCTGGTTGATTACGTTCTTCCTGAGAATGCTAAATTTGAGAGGGGGTGGGAGGGGTGGGGCTGGGTGGGGAGGGAGGGAGCTGGTCAGCCCGTGGTGCCCTGATAAAACTCAACGTTGAACCTACTCACGCTGGCTTGTGCCAGCCCTCAGAGTCGGGCATATTTGCGGAATACACGCCATTGACCCTGGCCATTGACCGAGCAACCCAACGTTCCTACCAGCTCCCTCCGCAGGAATGTGTTTAAATTCGGAAATAAAAAAAAGTGTTTTGCATACTTTTAAGCACTTGTTTTCATCTCCAATTTTTTTAAATAAACCATTTGATAACTGTGCATCGCTAGTTATACAAATAGCAGAAATTCATCCGAAGGTATCGTTCATTTAGGGTAATATTTACGAAAGTTAATGTGCACCCCGATTACAGGGACATTGACACAGCCAATTGATTTTGGAAATCAACATTTGTTAGAAACATAAATTAACTAAAAGGTTCCAACATGGAGATGCCGGGGATTGAACCCGGTCCCTCACACATGCAAAGCGTGCGTTCTCCCACTGAGCTACATCCTCACCACGCTGGCAGCTCGGCAGGGAGCCAACCCCCTTAACTATCGGCCCCTCCCCTTACCCCCCTCCCTTAGGCCCCTCCCCCCACCCCCTTTCCCTTAGGCCCCTCCCCCCCTCCCTCAGGCCCCTCTGCTGACGCCCCCTCAGGCCCCTCCCCTGACCCGCCCCCCATATCCTTAGGCCCCTCCCCTGACCCCCCTCCCTTAGGCCCCTCCTCTGACCCCCCCCCCCCCCCCCTCAGGCCGCTCTCTTGACTCCCACTTTCCTTAGGCCCCTCCCCTGACCCTCCTCCCTGAGGCATCTCCCTTCTCCGAACCCGGCAGAAGGTCTCCACCAATCAAAGAGCTGTTTATATTATATATTTATTTATGTACGACAGACAGACAAAAAATCCCTGGTGGGCAGTGTGGAACCTATTGTTCCTACCTGTATTATGCTGAACATACCCTGGAGCAAAAGCTGTTGAAATTGTTACTTTGATTTAACAAAAGTTTGCTTAGTTTAACACGTATCATCCATAATACAGGCTTTTTGGATTAGATCGCGTAAATATATAAATGTATCGTTAAACCCGCTACCACCCAACAGCTAATGAGTAAGCTTTGTCACGTAAACAACATGCCAATTCGTTACTAGTACAGCACACCCGTGTGTTGAAGAGCAAATCCACAACATTTACAATCTTGAGTAATTGGAAATGTTGTGGATTTGCTCTCCAACACAGCGGTGGGTGCTTTTAAATGAAATGGAACGGAAGCTGTAAAGCGCGCAGCAAAACAAAAACATATCGGAGAGATACACTGAGTGACAGAAAAAGGAAGACAGGTTAGGGAACACATGAAATGTAGAGACGTCATATCGACTGTTCAACACAAGTGGGGCTCGGACCGGATATACACGGCTGGAAGTGGGGGGGGGCTTCGTGGCAGCCAAAGAAGAAGACAAACCCAAGAGCACGTGCACCAGAGAGACGAAGCATTGTGACATCACAGGACCGTGAAAGATGATTATGGATTGGTTGGGGGTGGCTTTTATGCTGGAGTGGATAGATCATGGTTACTGAGAAAAAAAATGTGTTAATTAGTACGTTTAGGATTTTGACAATTTTTATATGAAATTGAATTGCTTGGAATTCATCATTCACCCATGATGTTCATGTCAATCTTTAATTGTCTGTTATGTGACAATGTGGGCATGCATTTACAATAATTCGAAGTTATTTTAATTGCTGCGATATGTAAATTGTACTCATCACTCGTCTTGATAGTCAAAGAAACGACGAGAGAATGTGGGTAATGTAAATACATTTACAAAGTGGAATTTTATTTTGTCTTCTGAGGAAATGTAAGTATTATAGAGGTTCATAGCATAAAAACTATGATAAAGTGACAAAGAAAAGTATTTAAAAATGTATTTCATTTCTTGACCAAGAAGATGGTATTCTAAATAATTCATAATAGTTTGGTGGGTGTTTAATCTATTACACATTTGTTAATTTTGAGCTCTGTGCATCTAACGTGCAATTATGGTTATGCGTAGGCTTATCTACAGTATACATGTACTGTCGTGAATGGTTTGAAATTAATGCTGTGAGCCCACTTTGTGCCATTTTATTTTCTTCTAAATGCAAGATTTTTTGTTCCACATGAAAACAGGTTTGTTCGTATCTCTCAAAGTTCGTAAGTCGAATATTCGTAAGTAGAGGAGTCTTTGTACAATATTGCTCTGGCCATTCTGCTGAAATGCATCGCTAAAATTTGAATTTTAAAGAAGGTGCCAATTCATCTTCTTGGTTCTTTCGGTAAAGTCACGTAGAAGGGAAGTAATAAAATAATAAAAAATAAAAAATTCTCACGACGTTTCGGCTACAACGCAAGCAGCCGTCTTCAGGTGAAGACGGCTGCTTGCG